ACGTCCGTCCTGCCGCCGGGCCGCTGGCTTGCGCCACGGAAGATGGTTGCAAGCCCTGGGCTGGGTCCGGCGGCCGCTCGTGCCCTCCCACCGCCCGGCATTTCTCTGCAGTGTTCAAGAAAGTCGACTCCATCTCCAGTGACATCAGCTCAGCCCAGATTTATTACGAGAAGAAGATCGTATCCATCCAGCAAGACCTCCAGGAGCTGGGTGAGCGTCCTGTCCTGCACCCCTCAACCGCTTTCTCCCCAGGCGGGAGGCTTTCTCCAGGATCTGGCACCCTGCATCCCTCCAGCTGAGCGGGCCTCAGCGTGGAGGAGAAGGTAGCCAGGGACAGGAGCATCTCCACCTTTCGGGTCCCCCAGGGCCAAAACCTCACTTATCTCCCAGGGTTTCTGGGGCTGAGCTAGAGGAGACAGTCCTATGCGGTAGTCTCCTTCCCTGCTGCCCACCTTCGCGGAGGGGAGACTAAAACCCCACGGGGAGGGCGGTAGCGTGGTGCCTTTGGGGGCACCTGCTGCATGGAGGTGGTAGGTGACGTTCCCAAGGAGCAGGATGAGCCCCGGCGCTCGTGGCTCCTCGTCCTGGGCTGGGACCGCGCAGGCTGGTGGGCTGGGTGGTTGTCCCAGCTGTTCCCATCTGCGGTGCCTGGCAGGGCCAGACTGTGGTGAGGCTCCTTCCTCTGGCTCTGGTCCTCAGCAGGGGTGTTTCCAGGCCCAGCAGCTGATCCAGGAGGCACCGGGGTGGCGGCTGGGGTAACGCAGACCTCTGTCCTCCGTTCAGATCAGAAGGCCTTGGGGAACTGCTCCCTCTGCCACGAGACGGGGCAGCTGGGGCAGGAGATCACCAAGCTGCAGGGCGAGCTGGAGGAGATCCAGAAGATGCTCTTGGTTCAGGAGATCCTGCTCAACCGGGCCTCCCAGACCCACGACTTGCTCTCATCCACCAGCGACAAGATTGCCAATGAGGTGGACAACTGCTCCTTCTCCATCCGGCAGGTCAACCAAAGCTTGGGGCAATTCCTTGCCCAGGTTGGGGGCTGGCAAGCGGTCACCTCCGAGCTAGACAGCTCTCTCAAGGGGCTGGTGCAGGAGCGCTACGACGTCAGGGCGGCCATGCAGCAGATGAACTTCACCCTGGGGCAGACCTCCGACTGGATCCACGTCATCCAGAGGAAGACGGATGAGGAGACGCTGACGCTGCAGAAGATCGTGACTGAGTGGCAGAACTACACCCGTCTCTTCAGCGGCCTGCGGGCCACATCCTCCAAGACCAGCGAGCTGGTCAAGAGCATCCAAGGCAGCGTCAGCTCTGCGGCCCAGCAGGTCAGCCAGAACTCGGAGAGCATGCACGACCTGGTGCTGCAAGTGATGGGCCTCCAGCTGCAGCTGGACAACATCTCCTCCTTCCTGGATGACCACGAGGAGAACATGAACGACCTGCGCTACCACACTAGGTACACGCAGAACCGCACGGCCGAGCGCTTCGAGACCCTGGAAGGCCGCATGACCTCCCACGAGATCGAGATCAGCACCATTTTCGCCAACATCAACGCCACCGACAGCCACGTCCACAGCATGCTGCGATACCTGGACGACGTGCGGCTCTCCTGCACCCTGGGCTTCCACACCCACGCCGAGGAGCTCTACTACCTGAACAAGTCCCTCAGCCTGGCCCAGGGCACCACGGACCTGCTGCGGGAACGCTTCAGCCTGCTCAACGCCCGGTTGGACTTTGACATCCGCAACCTGTCCATGATCATGGAGGAGATGAAAGTGGTGGACGTCCGGCACGGAGAGATGCTGAAAAACATCACCATCTTACGAGGTGTGGTGCATGCTGGTGTCTGCAACATGTCCCCACCCCGGTCGTATCGTGACCCTCCACATCGGCTAGGGACCGATGTAGCGTAGCCCGCGTAGCCCCGGGGACGCCATGCCGAGGGCTAACGCAGGGTCCGGGAGCTGAGCACCTCAGGAGCTTCCCGAGCTGGGGGAAGGGGAGAGCAGGGCGCCCAAAGCTTCTCCCACCGACTCCGGTGGCCTGAGGACCTCTCCAGTGACCCGGTGGATTTGCAGGGCCCCTGAGCCCCCAGGGTGGGGGGGGGACATCTCCCCCCCGCCCCAGTGCTGCACGCCGGGTTTCGCGCTCACCCGCTCTCCCTTTTGCTCCGCAGGTGCTCCGGGACTCCCGGGCCCCCGC